TGTGTACTTCTCCATTCAGTTTGAATGGCTCCATTGACTTGAATAGGCACACTCTGCATCACGTGACCCCCCCGTTCTAGCTTGCCTGTCTGTTTTTCCAACTACTCCTTGTTTTTCTGCTTCTATTATGCTATCCTTAAATTTTATACACATATAATAGATGAAAATCATAGAGAAAATTGTCAACAATCTATCTATACCATTGTTATTGTGATGGGATGAACGGTATTTGTGTAATTTTGCAGATTCCAGAGAGAGTGCCGTCTCACTGTTCCCTCACTGTGGGTGCGCTCACAGCAGAGAACTCAGTCTGCTGACTATTTTTTACAAGTTAATCCTTTTATTGAAATACAATGGACTTTTCTGAACAAGTCTGGCAAAAGGATTATATCAGAACCGAACTGTTGCGAGGTTGCTCACTGCTGCTCACAGTGAAGAGATTTTTTCGAAAGGACTTTGTTGAGCAGGACTTTTTGAATACGATGACAACACGGCTGTTCTTCCAAACACAGAGAACTTGCTCTGCTAGACAGCAGCTTAATGTCTTTTTTCCAAACACGTTGGACTTTCAAAGAACTTGCTCTGCTAGACAGGAGCTTAATGCCTTTTTTTCCCAAACACGTTGGACTTTCAGAGAACTTGCTCTGCTATACAGCAGCTTAATGCCTTTTTTTCCAAACACATTGGAATTTTGTAATCAAGCGTGAACGAAGAAGGATTATATCATAATACATACTGATATATTCTTGCATATACATAGGTAGTGTGAACTCATAGTTTGTTAATTGATTTTCTGTTAATTGATTCTTGATAACTGATTTTTGATAATTAAGTTTGGTAAGTATTAATGGTAATTGGTAATGGTAATTTTAATTCTTATTGTTGAGTGTTGTTTATGATTACGGTAGGATGTAAGAGAATCTTTGTTGTTTTTTTGTGTATTAGTTTCCCCCTAATGTTATGATTAACCGATGAAAGGTTGCTACACATGATGTTTATGCATTTCCACAATTATGTCTGCTCAAATGCTCTTAGTTGCATTGAATCAGCTTACACATACGGCATACATATAGAGGTCACTGCAATGAAGAACCTGCTTACATGCTGTAACCCTTTTTGTGTTTTTAGTTCATTTTTCCCTGAAGTACTCAGCTCTGTAGTTTACCCTTGAGTGGGTGGCTTTGGTGGGGGGCCTCTCACCTCTTGAAACGCTAGGTAGCTTCATCTGCGGAAAATGGGACATTGATTTAGGTCAACACGATTTTGGTCATGTCGAAAGGGGGAATTGTTAGGTAATTTTTTAGTCAGATAGATATTGGTTAGGTACTTGTTGTATTAGGAATGTTTACAGGAGACAGGATGTCTAGCTTAGGCTGTTAAATGCTTACTCATTTTCCTGAGTTACTGCAGGATGCTTATGGTCAAGGATAACTAGATAGAAAAGTTTGACTGTCAGTAGACAGGATGTTTAATATTATTATTATGACATGCATAACTGTAGCCATAGCCATAATATTTTCTTATGTTTAATGTTATGACATGTCACTAGAGGTCGTGGTAGAATGTTTTTTAGTTACACACCACATAATCAACACACACACACACACATTGATTTTTCCTCATGTTTTGACTACTGCTCTGGCCAGCTGCAAAGCTGTCCCTGGGAGACGCTGCGGCTTGGCGTCTCCTGTTAGTATGGGATTAGCCCGAGGTGATATAATGTATTAGGCCTGTTGGGTTCAGGGTCTTTCATCTTTCAGCTGCCTGCGTGCATTTGAATCACTGGGGTTT